GAAAAGCCGTGACGTTGAACTAATTGATGATGAGCTAGGTGAATACAACATGGAAGAAGTGAAACGCATGATTGGCGTCGCTCTGCTTTGCACTCAGTCATCTCATGCGTTGAGACCACCAATGTCACGAGTGGTAGCCATGTTGTCAGGAGATGCTGAGGTCAGTGATGCCACCTCTAAGCCAGGCTACCTAACGGACTGTACATTTGATGACACCACAAGCTCCTCTTTCAGCAACTTCCAAACGAAAGACACTAGCTTCTCGACGAGCTTTGTAGCGCCTGGCCCGGAGATGCCACTTAGAGACTGCGAATCGAAGCCAATGGTTGGATTCAAGATCAAGGAGGGAAGATGAAAATTGTCTCCTCTATAATTGCTATAGCCTATAGATATGCTTGTACTGTATATGGAAGATGACAATTTTCTTCGACATGTATTGGAGAAACATATTTCACTTTCATTCAATAATAGTGACATTTTAGTAGCTCTGAGATCAATGTTGATGGGCCGGGCACTGTATAAGCAAATTCAACTAACACACCGTCAAATGGGCCTGGCCCATTGAATAAGCGCCATCAACAAAATCGTATTAAACCCTGAAACCCTAGTTTCGTTCATTGTATATTTGTGCTCGGTGAGTAGTAGTTCTTAGGGTTTTAGTTTCTTCTCCTCCAAAAATGGCCATGTATGTTCTCCACGAATCTTCTTCCGGCTACGCTCTCTTAGAGGTTCACGGACTAGATGAGATCGGACAGAACACTGAGGCGGTTCGGACCTCCGTCTCCGACCTAAGTCGCTTTGGCCGTGTTGTTCAGCTCACCGCGTTTCATCCCTTTGAGTCTGCTCTCGATGCTCTCAACCAAGTCAACGCCGTCTCTGAAGGTCAGACTCTTCATTACCCACTTCTTCTTTGTTCTGAATATTCATGTGTTGTGTTTGAGTATCTTAAATATTATCTATAGATAGAGTAGAGACTTCGATTTAAAGCCTTATAGCTCAAATTCTCTGGTTATATTGTAGAAAGAGCTTTAATTTATGGTTGGTTCTTGTTTTTATTTCATTTTTCTGATTTTGTCATTGATGTTTTGGGAATTGGTTTTTGTCGGATATTGGTAGGTGTTATGACTGATGAGCTTAGAAGTTTTCTGGAGTTGAATCTTCCTAAAGTCAAGGAGGGAAAGAAACCCAAGTTCAGCTTAGGATTGGCTGAGCCTAAACTCGGTTCACATATATTTGAAGCCACTAAAATCCCATGCCAGAGCAATGAGTTTGTTCTTGAGCTTCTCAGAGGTGTACGGCAGCATTTTGATAGGTTTATCAAGGACCTAAAGGTGTGCTCTCCTTCTTTGTTTTAAAGCCTCCTTGTCTCTCTGCTTATTAGTTGTGGTTCTCATAGACATTTTCTGTTTATGTAGCCTGGTGATCTTGAAAAATCTCAGCTTGGATTAGCTCACAGCTACAGCAGAGCCAAGGTGAAGTTCAATGTCAACCGAGTGGATAACATGGTTATTCAAGCTATTTTCCTGCTTGACACGCTTGACAAGGATATCAATTCCTTTGCCATGAGAGTCAGGTTTGTGTTGTGCTTTTCCCTTTCAGATTGTGTGTTTACCTTGAGAAAATTTGGTAGCCGAACTGTTTATAATGTGTTTACAGGGAATGGTATTCGTGGCACTTCCCTGAACTAGTGAAAATAGTCAATGACAACTATCTTTACGCCCGCGTTGCAAAGATGATTGATGACAAGTCAAAGTTGACAGAAGACCACATCCCAATGCTTACTGAAGCCTTAGGGGATGAAGATAAGGCAAAGGAGGTTATCGAAGCTGGAAAAGCATCCATGGGTAAAATTTTTGAGCTGACTTTATTGGTAGCTACGAATTACTGAGTGTTCTGTTCTCTCCTGTTTTGAGACATTTACTTTCCATCCCTATTCACAGGCCAGGATTTATCACCGCTTGACTTGATCAACGTTCAGACATTTGCCCAGAGAGTTATGGACCTTGCTGACTACAGGAAGAAGCTCTATGATTATCTTGTCACTAAGATGAGCGACATTGCCCCTAATTTGGCAGCTTTGATTGGAGAGATGGTCGGTGCCCGTTTGATTTCACATGCTGGAAGTCTGACTAACCTTGCTAAATGCCCATCTTCTACCCTCCAGATCCTTGGAGCCGAGAAGGCGCTTTTCAGGTGCAATATCTGGCACTGTCTTTTTTAATTTTCACAAGTTTCTTGTAGTGCTGTGTGTGACATGAACCCCTGTGGTGTTTCAGGGCGCTTAAAACTCGTGGAAACACTCCCAAGTATGGGTTGATTTTCCATTCTTCCTTCATTGGCCGAGCATCTGCTAAGAACAAGGGCCGTATTGCTCGGTATCTTGCAAACAAGTGCTCTATAGCATCCCGGATTGATTGTTTTGCTGGTAAAAATCTGAAACTCCCTGAAGAAGAGTTTGGATTATGAATTACGCTGTGAAAGTGTTAAATTATGTACCCTGATGTCCTATGTAGATGGTGCAACTACTGCTTTTGGTGAGAAGCTTCGCGAACAAGTTGAAGAAAGGCTAGAATTTTATGACAAAGGTGTTGCCCCACGCAAGAACGTGGATGTAATGAAGGAGGTGATAGAGAATCTGCAAAAGCAAGGTATTTCTTGTAGCTTTTTTGTTGTTGTAATCAGAGCCCTCTTATTGTGGTGGACACAAGACTCGGTGTTTGATCTGTTCCTTGTTTAGATGAGGAAGGAAAGGAGCCGGTGGATGCCTCAGTGAAGAAAAGCAAGAAGAAGAAGGCAAAGGGTGAAGAGGAAGAGGTGGTGGCAATGGAGGAGGACAAGTCAGAGAAAAAGAAGAAGAAAGAGAAGAGGAAGATGGAGACAGCAGAGGAGAATGAGAAATCAGAGAAGAAGAAGACAAAGAAGAGTAAAGCTGGAGGAGAAGAGGAGACTGATGATGGTCACAGCACCAAGAAGAAGAAGAAGAAGTCTAAGACCGCTGAATAGAGAGGGATGCAACATAACAAACCCTGTATTGTATTTTTTTTTGAGCTAAATTAATGTCGTCTGTTTTTCGTAGTGAACTTTGGATAATTTTTGTTTTGCCCTGGAATCGATGCAGGATTTGGCAATATCTTAAGTTTGTTTAGGTTTTCACCATTTTGTTTCAGTTTTGTTACAGGTTACAAGTCCCACAATCACATGACTAAATACTAGTAACACTTTGAAAGATGAAATTATTCAATGTGCCTCCCTTATTATATTAAAAAAATCTTGTATTGTAGATTAAAACTTATTTTCCTTCGGCACATAAAATTTAAACAAAAGATTGATAAAGAGTCTGATTATTTATTAACACAATTACTAATTGTTTTGTCTTTTTTTTTTGACGTCAACACAACTACCAATTCACTTTTACTTATTGGTTGTGAAAATGAATTTGAGGCCATATGATTTGGCGAGGGAATATTATCTAATCTGTTTTTTTTTTTTTACCGAAATGGAGTAAAATAAGAAGAGCAGCTTGCATTTGAATGGTCAGTTAACAAAAGGTTAAATTGACTAGAGGTTAAGCTTGTGTATGTAACAATAGAGCTACCTCCTCATGCATGAACGATAGATAAAGTCGTGACCAACCACAGTCTCATAGTCCCGTATTCTTAGTATAAATAAGCAATTCACACTCCTCAAAAAAATATAACATAACCAATAAACATACTTAGCATGATGACGATGATGATCAAGTATCTCCTTTTAACTCTTCTCGTGATCTCTCCGATTTGCGCTGAGAAGGACCTGATGATAAAGGAATGCAACAATGCCCAAGTCCCGACCATTTGCATGCAATGTCTTGAATCCGACCCAACCTCCGTTCATGCTGACCGTGTTGGCATCGCCGATATCATCATACACTGTCTCGACTCTCGCCTCCATATCATCACCAAGCAAGTTTTCACTTCTAATTAAAAATAACCATATATATTAACTTATATATATATGATAATATTCTCTAACTAATATATCAAAGTTTCGATTGTTGTAGTAACATAACGAATCTATTGTCACGAGAAAGAAAACGCGAAGTGAAAACAGTTTTGAAGGCTTGCGAAAATGAATTGTCCACGGTGGGACCTAATACACTGTCGGAAGCCGAAACAGCTCTGACAACCGGTGATTACGACAAAACCGCCAAATCGATAAAGCTTGCGCTTGGCATCCCTCATGGCTGTCGTTTCGAGCTACAAAGAATCAAGTTTGAGTCTTTCGAGCTATATAGCCAAATCAATATCTATACTCAACTCTCTGATGCTGCTATGAGGATCATTGATCGCTTCTAATAACTCCTCCTTTTTTTATCTCTATGTAACTCAACATCGATGCTTACCATGCATTCCCGATTTAAATAAAATAAATGATTCACTCTTTTATCACGAATTTTTATAATGCATGATCTCATTTAGGCGATTAGTATTTAACATTTCACCATCTAATAATCATACTAAATGTGATGTTGTAGAATTTTAGCTCATCATCGATCATTAAGGAAAAAATTCTAGAGATCTTGAGATTAGTATATCGCTTGAGATTAGTATATCGCTTGTAAAACGTTTTTATTTGTTTAATAATATGGATAATACATTGGGCCTATTGGACTGTTAAATGGGCCGTGTTCACACATACTCCGCCCAACAATAGTTTTTTCTACGGTTTCGTCGCCCGGAGTTAATGCAAGGTGGAGGAGAAATGGGAAAATCTAAATAAATTCTCGTCATAAACTCAAAAAAAAAGAGAAGACGAAAGGACAGCCAGAGAGAGAATCATACTAATGATAACGTTCTGTTTCCCTAAGTAATTATTAAGTGTTTTGATTTCCCAATAAAAATGGCTTTTGATATTTCTTCTCTAAGGAAGAAAGTCGCCTATAAATCTCAAACAAAGAGAGCACTTTCGTTTCATCAATACCCTAGTTTCAATTTTTCTTACACTAAACGTCAGATTAAGCTATGGCTGATTTAGGAGAAAGCAGCAAAAGTCGAGTTGTCTTCGTGAAGACAAGTATTGATACTCGTCTTGGACTTCTCCTTGACAGTGATGATAGTGTATCTGCTTTCAAAGGTTAGTCTTAATCTCTTCCGTTTTTTTAGTTTGGTAACTAAACTCATGTCTATTGTTGTTTGTTTATTATACAGACAAAATCTGCAAGGAACATGAACAGTGTTTCCCAAGTGTTGGAAAAATTACAATTTCTTCTGCCTTGAAGGTAACATAACAACACTTTTTTTCTTGTTTTGGCAACAATAACTTAAGGAAGTAGAACTGGTTTGTGTTTTGTAGGTTAACTTGGGTGGTAACGATTACCACTTGCCTGATTCTATGATATTGAAAAAGGCTCTTCAAGGCATCAGTAACAACAACTGGTTTCTATCTGTCGACGTCATGCATGTCGAGGAGAAGGGTGAGCTCCAGATTGGTGAAGTTGCTTTAGCAAACCATGATTTGCATGTTACGAAGAACAATGATCCGAGTGAAGTAGTTGAGAAGAAAACGAGGAAGAGAAAACCAAAGAGTTCTGGCAAAAGTAGTAAGAAACCCTCCGTAGAGACACCAACAGAAGCTAAAGGTAACCTCTGAATAGTACATAGCAGATGTTATTGAGGAATTCATATCGATCAGTTGGTTTACTTTTGGGTTGTTGTATCTGTTTTTCTTAAGATGTTGAAAGCGGTGAGGGAAATGTCACTATAATGGGAGAGAATCAGCATGCATACCAAGAGGAGCTAGTAGATGGTCATGCCAATGATGTTGAGGCCAATCTTGATCTTATGGGGACAATGGAACAAGGTAAACTTTAGTTTATATCAATTGTTGAATTATGTGATCCTTTATCTTAGGGTGTTATAGAGCTGTAGTTTCTTTGTTGAATAGATCTTCAAAAGGATGTAGCAAATGCTGATTTAGTCATGATTGACGAAGACAAGGATCTTGAGAAAGGTAAACTTTTTGTTTTTGTTTTTTTTTTGTATATGGTTGGAAGTTACTGATTCTCATTGTAGATGTTACAATTGGGTACACACTAGTAAGGCTTGATTAGCTTTAATTGTTGTAGATAATCTTTTAACTGAATTATACCAAACTTCTGATGATGCTGAGAACGAAGGTCTCATAGATCCTGTTAATGCTACTTGTCAAGCAATTGAAAACTACGGTAATTTCAGTTCTATGTTGAATATACTTTTTTTCTTCTCTATAATCATATGTAACTTTTTTTTTGTATTGATTTGTAAATAATTGCTGAATTTTGTGTAGAAACTGGGATGGGTACAAAGGAAGAAGATGGTGATGAGGAGGCTAAATCTGAGAAGCCTAAGAAGAAAAAAAGAGCAAGGAAAGACAAGAATCTGGCTAAAGAAGATGGTCTAGTTGCTTCTAGCTCAAGGAACGCAGAGGAGGATGTTGAAAAAGCTGCGAGGAAGTCAAAGAAGAAATCGAAGAAACAAGAGTCTTCGAACGTTGTGGAGGAGGATGCTTAAGGATTTTCTGCTATGACTTATCAGGATCATTGATCGCTTCTTATTCTGCTATTTATCTCTTCTTTTTTGAACTTTTCGTTTTGTCTTGGCTTCTTTTAAACATTGATGTTTCCAGGTTTAAGCAACTTTTTTATCCTATCTTTTATTTTGATCTTATTTTCAAGTATGATTTTATATAGGATTTATAACCTCTTCTAAACATTCCATTCCACCATCTGCATACTACGCAATCAACCATAGTAAACATAATTTTGTAGAAATTAAGCCTATTTATCTTTATGAAAAAACTAGAGATTAATTATCTTGAGAAATAATATGTGATGAATGTGTTTTATGGATTAATTTCCTCTTCCTTTTGAGGGTAACGTTGGGCCTGAGTGGAGTGTTAAATGGGGCATATATCACCCACCAACCCAGCAATACTGCCAGATGGCGGGTTTTAAAAAACAAAGATTAAAACCCAATTCGCCTAAATTAATTATTGTAAAATCATGTAATTTGCATTGAAATTGAATCGAAGAAGAAGGAAGATTCATATATCAATCAATCCAGGTCTTATTCTAGGCTTCTTCACTCGCCATTATTGTTCCTTTCTTCTTCTTCTTCTTCTTCTCTGGATCTCTCTCCCCCTCTCTTCTCTCTACAATTTCTCTTTATCAGTTTCGTTAAATCTACGGTTTCTTCTTCTCCGGGAGTATTTATGGCATCAGGCAAGGTGGAGAAGGGGCATCAGCTATACAGAGACGGCAAGTATAAAGAGGCGCTTCTCTTCTTTACGGAGGCTCTTATGGCTGCTGAGGCCAAGCCTCAGAAGATCGCTCTTCACAGCAACCGCGCCGCTTGTTTTTTGAAATTGAACGATTTCAATAAGGTTTTTTTTTTTTTTTTATATATATATTCTTTTGACTTCTTCCTTTGATCTCCTTCTCTGTTTTTTATAATTTGAACTTAGAAATGGTCAATTCAATTCAATGAGGATTTCAATTTTGCTATGTGAGAATTTTTGAGTGATTAGAGTATTAAGAGCAAATCTAAGAACATTCATGCTTAGTATTTTGTTCTAATCGCAGTCATGAGTGTTAGAAGAAAGCCAATCTTTTGTTTTCGATTTTTCAGGCAGCAGAAGAATGCACTTGTGTTCTTGAGCTTGATCAGAAACATAGTGGTGCGTTGAGTCTGAGGGCTCAGACATTAGTCACTCTTAAAGAATACCAATCTGCTCTTTTTGATGTCACCAGACTCATGGAGTTGAACCCTGATTCCAAGGTTTATCAGAACCTTGAAGCTCGCTTGAGGACGCAGTTGGTATACTCTCTCTATCTTGCTTCTTCACTTACTTTATGATTGTTCTGGCTCATTGGATTTGGATTTTAAAAGTGTGTCTTGTTCTTCTTGGTCAAGGAAAGTCCCTTGCTCCAATTCCTGAAGATGAAGAAGAGAGTGACGCAGAAGAACAAGACACACAAGATAAGAAAAGTAGACAAGTTGAGTTTGGTGTTCACGAGAGAAGAGATCAGAGGTTTGAGTCGGTAGTTTCCATTAGAAGACATATAGAGACCCTAGGAGAAGATGCAGATATAAATAAGGGGGAAGTTGTTGCACCTAAAACACCAGAGGTTAGAGAACAGAACAGCAAGGAAGTGCCGTTGTTGTCTGGAAAGCAATCTAATGCATGGCAAGCCATACCTAAGCCTAAGGGTCATTCAACACTCGATTACGCCCGTTGGGATACAGTTGAAGATGATTCCAGTGAAGAAGAAGACGATGAAGACAGCGATGACAGTGATGAATCTCCACCTCAGTACAGATTCCGTGTTAAGACAGTCGGGGTGCGTCCTGTGAAGTGAAAAAGTGTAGATAGGAACATGGGATGGTTTACTTCATCCTGATATATTGCATATTGTTGCACAGAAGAGCTGTGAAAAAGCATTAGAGAGAACGGGCTAGTGTAGTGAACCAAAGCAGACTAGTCATGTTTTAATTTGCCTCATCTGCAATTGGCTTCAGCAGTCACCATGTATCAGTGTGATGTGTCTATTTATACATCTTCCAGAAGAAAACATACTGAGTTTGATACACAATACAGAAGACATGTTCAAATCCAAGTGGCGTGTTGTTATTTTTTGCTACTTTCTTTGCCTCACTAACTCTTAACGTTCCTGCTTTATATCGCTCACCATGAAGATGATATTGATTTCGAACTGAACAGAAATGGAATTAAAAAGCTTCATATTGATAAGTTAAAAAGATACATCCCTGCCAAAGTTTCGTATTCATGACATTACCTAAGCTACATTTGATTAGCTCATAAGAATTGGCCCATGCCATTTACGTTTCCTTCTCCCATCCCTCGCTTCTCTCCCATTTCCACTGTGTGTGTCTCTTGCCCTTCCTTTATAATCTCTATATGACTCCGACGATCATAGTCTCTTTCTCTTCGACTCTCCACACGCCTCTCTCCATCTCCCATCTCTTTGCGGTTTCTTCTTCTGTCTTCATCTTCCCTACTGTCTCTTTCTTTTCTCTCTGTGTCCCTACTAATACCATCATCATACCTCCTCTCCATTTCTCTTACCTCATCCCTATGATGCTGTCTTCTACCAATGTACTTATCTGCCTTGTCCTCAGTGTCGATTAGATTGTCAGCGTTTCATGTTTTGCCAAGGATTCCATCAGTTGTTTGGTCTATGCCTTCAATACTCGATAAGGAGGATGGAAAAAGGGATTTACCTTTACCCTTCTGTGAATCTTTCTGCCGGAACACTCTGACTGAAATCCACATGTATTCGTCTACCATCGATCAAAGCATTGTCCATCTGCAAAGCAACAAGTTGGTATTATTTACAAATCTATGTCAACACTTATTACCCCGTTGAAATGTACCTTAAAGTACGCTTGTTCGCATGCTTCCTTGTTCTCAAACTCTAGAACCAAGACAAAACTCTCAGTCAACAAGAACTCAACAGAAGAATCTAGATTTTTTCAACAGTAACTATATAGCCCAACAGACTCGACTCACCTATAAAAGCGTAACACAAACTGTCATCTGTCTTGAAATCCCGAATTACATCAGCCCTGCTAAATTCAGACATGAACATAAACACAACTGCGGAACAATTGAGTTTTGCAAACGAATTAAGAGTCAAGGAATTATCACTTACGATATTACAGTTCCAACGCGTGAAAAAAATGCTATGCAGGTCCTGATCCTCCATGAGACAAGAGAAAAAGAACAAAATTTCACAAACCCAGGAAGGCTTTGCTTTTTAATTTGAAGTATCAAGCACCTACCTCAGTCACAGGATTCAGTTTGCAGACGAACACATTATCAGGAGGCTTTACCTCAGCCTCTGGTATATCTCCTATCTTCAACAGCAATACAAGCTCAGATATTAAACGTGATTGATATAAATACAAGGGGCATCTAAATCCGTGAATACGTGATACTTACACTTTTTTAAGTACAACAGCACTAGAATGGGCAGCCTTTTCGCGGAAAACCTCCTCCAGTTCCTTAGAACCAAGTTCTTCATCCATCGGAACCCAATCATCTTCAAGTCGCACGTCATCTTTGACCTCTTCCTTTAGTTTTCCTTCCGGGGAAGCATCTGGTATCATTTCAGCAAGCTGCGGGCGATCATCAAATGGATATTCAAGTATATATGCGTGCTTGATTCTAATGTTTTTATATGGTCTATTTTTGGCATAACATAAGCTTCGTTTATCCTAGTCAAAGTTTCAAACCCCTCGGCAATCTCCCCAAACACCTGAAAAATGGCGTATTGTATGTATCCGGTTAATACAAAACGAAAGCATAGGATGATTAGGAATGATTTTGTGCTTACAGTGTGTTTCCCATCAAGATAGTCCAGATCATCACGAAGTGTGAAATAGAACTAAAAAGAAAACAGACAAGCCATATGAGTACAAACCACACCACAAAAGTTGATGCACAGCACACTGATAGTTATTCTGACAAATATACCTCAAAAACTTGGCAATTCAAGCAATATGAGTTGGCTTACCTGGGAAGCATTCAGATTTTCTCCACCATTGGCCATTGCAACAATGCCAGTCTTTGAATGTTTTAAATCGAGATGAATCTCATCGCCAAAAAACCGAGCCTGCTCACCGTACAGAAATCTAAAAATCCAACATAGCAGGCACGAGATGGTTGAGTAAAGTTGACCAATTTATGGGTAAAAATAGACAGGAGAAAACAAAAACAAAAAGACGGCACACTAATCAACACAGAGTAAAGGGTTCAAAAGGTAAAGAATGGTCAAAATATGAAAGCAGTCCACATATAATACGAGAGTATGAAAAGAACATCTTACTTGTAGATTGAATCTCCACCAGCTCCTGTGGCAGTTGGATCACCCGTCTGTGCTGTGAAATCATTTTGCACAGTGTGGAAGAGGCACCATTGTAGTACTTGATCCTAACCAAATAAGTAAGTTAAAAACCCCCTTAAAGAGACATAATGAGTACCATAGAAATGTAACCTAGGTAGATAGGCACTTACTTGCAGAGCTTGAGAAAGTTGTTGCAGGTCAAAGGACATTTATTTAAGTAGAGATCAATCACTAAATCCCCAAGACTTGTCACAATAAGAACCTGCAGAACCTGAAACCAAAAATTGGAAGTGAGAAGAAAGTACTAAAGTAGTACGCTTTTCACTAGCTTATCTCATTCATCAACAAACCCGAGCATTACTATCGGGGAAGGAAGCAGATAGACAGCAGATAAACATAAAAGACGAAAAACGAAATGTCAAAAAAAACTTTGCCTTACAAGATCGATTCTTGTTCTGATTTTGAGCAATAAAACGAAGAAGAAGAGATGAGTTACCCTCAAAATGGAGATAGGCGAACCTCTTTGTCTCTTTCAGAATCTTCGACTATGGAGAGGTTTAAGGTTTCAATTTTTGAGATTTTCAGATTTCGTTAAAGGTCTTGGGGTTAAATTGTATCAAAACCAAAGTTCAGGGTACTAAAATAAGAACAAATAGCTAAAGGGGTTTAAACATGAAAGTTATAAAAGCTCAGGGTTTCATGATCAATATATAAATATCTCTCTCTCTCTACAGCCTAAAGACAGACAACGACAAATAAAAAGTGCGAATCTTCCAATAAAAACACGCCACGTAGTTTATTTGGGCAGCCGAAGATCCCGAGAGACCTTTTTCGAGCAATGGAGTCTCAAAGCAGCGGTGACTTCAGCCTCTCCGACGAGATTCTCGCCGTGATTCCCACCGACCCTTATGATCAACTCGATCTCGCCAGGAAGATCACTTCCATGGCCATCGCTTCTAGGGTTTCGAATCTGGAATCACAAGTCTCCGGCTTGAGACAGAAGCTTCTTGAGAAAGATCGGCTTGTCCGTGAACTTGAAGACAGAGTCTCTTCCTTTGAAAGACGTTACCATGAGGCTGACTCTACTTTGAAGAATGTTGTCGATGAAAATGTAAGAATTTCACTCAATTTTGGATCATCAAAGTGTTGTCTTTTACTCAATTGGTTCATCTTTGGATTTTGGATTGAAGATGAAACTAACTCAAGAACGAGATTCACTGGCTATCACTGCGAAGAAACTCGGTCGTGATTTTGCAAAGGTTCTTTCTTTTTTCAAATGTTATGGTATCGATTTTTGTCGACTTTTAATCATTTGATTTCATGCTCAAGCTCCTGTCTTTTGCCTTGTAGTTGGAAGCATTCAAGAGACAATTGATGCAGTCATTGAATGATGACAATCCATCTGTATGCTCTCTCAACATCACTTCTTTTGACATCCCTTTTTATATATAATATGAAGCCAACAAAATCTGATGTTCTTCTCTCTACAGCAAACTGAGACAGCTGATGTCAGAGTGGTTCCTCGAGGCAAAGGTATTGTAACATCTCAAGTATTCTGAGCTTGTTGGTCTTCATTGTCTTTGCTTTTCCTTCATGTATTAGTCTCTTCAAGAGTTACTTGTTCTGATGTTATTTACTCTGTATGGATTGTAGATGAGAATTCGAATGGCTTATCGGCGCACGGTTCCTACTCAAACAACCAAGGTAATCATGGCTGATTCATGCAACTATTAAGTTTGTATCAACAAAATGCTAGGCTAGAAGATGTTTACAAAAAAAAAAAAAAAACTATTTCAATGTGTAATTCTGATGTATGAATGTGTAATGGTTCATTAAACAGGTTTAAGTGAAGCGAGGCAAAGACAATCTATGACTCCGCAATTCTCTCCCGGTTTTACACCAAGCGGAACACCAAAGATCTTATCTACTGGTGCTTCTCCGAGAAGCTACTCTGCTGCTTCATCACCAAAGCTATTCTCTGGAGCTGCATCCCCAACAACTTCACATTATGATATACGTATGTGGTCTTCATCAAGCCAACAATCTTCAGTAGCAAACTCTCCTCCTCGGTCGCATTCTACTTCAGGTTTACAACTTAAGTATTTCTAAAATGCATCTTTTTGCCAATATTATAAAAATCGATTGGTGGTTTTGTTCTCATTCTCTCCATTTACATATTCACTGTCTCTTATACAGCTCGCCATCCGCGGATTGATGGGAAAGAGTTCTTTAGACAAGCCAGGTAAATATAATTTCTTAAAGTTCCTAGAGCCAGCAACTAGTATATGGGAATGAGTGATAGATAAGCATTTTTTTTTTGGCAATTTGCAGGAGCCGTTTGTCTTATGAACAGTTCAGTGCATTCCTGGCTAACATCAAGGAACTAAACGCTCGGAAGCAGAGCCGCGAGGTAATACCTACTGCTCAACCACAACTCTTCTAGTCTGAATTTGTAAAATGTTTGAATCCTAAAATGGTCTCATCTCATCTTAATCTCCAGGAAACATTACAGAAAGCAGAGGAAATATTTGGAAAGGAAAACAATGATCTATACATATCGTTTAAGGGACTTCTCACAAGTGGGCGTTGAAACAAAAACACCAACTTCTAAGCTTTCTTTTCATGACCAATAATTAGTCATGACTGATTTCAAATTTGTAAAACCTCTTTAACCATAGAAGAATGATGGAATTTTGCAGTTGCAAGTCCCAGTTCTTTTGCCAAGACGACTAAGAAGAGTTTATGTATTATCATTCCTTGATTTAGTTAAACAGATGAGCAAAAATGTAATAATAAGGAGTCCGTTTACAGTGAAAGTCATCGTCTAAGACCAAATCATATTCTTGGTACCGTCTTTGTTGACCAAGTTTGAGCAGCTTAAGAAAAAAACAATGACTATGGAGCTTTTTTTGGAATTTTAATTTTTATAAAACGTTGTAAGGAAAAAACAAAAGAAATCGATAATGCATGGAGAGGATGGTAATAATATTGGTGAATATTTCTTGATTTATACGGATTTGAAATTTTAATTTTTATAAAACGTTTTAAGGAAAAAAATCGATAATGCAGGGAGAAGATTAGGCCTGGGATTTCGGTTAACCGTTCGGTTATCGGTTGGGTCTATTCGGTTTCGGTTCTTTCGGTTTCAAAATTTAGTATCCATTCGGATATTTTGAAATTTCGGTTCGGTTCCGGTTCTTTCGATTTTAAAATTTAGTATCCATTCGGTTATTTTGTTTAGGATATTTTCGGATATTTCGGTTATTTTTGAGTATTTTCGGATATTTTTGGATATATTTAGGTTATTTTCGAATATTTTTACTATTTTTATATATTTTTCAAGTATTTTTGATTATTTGGTATATAAATAACTAATTATTTTGAAAATATAATTGTATTTCGGATATTTTGGTTACCCAAAATATTTCGGTTCGGTATCGATTCGGTTACGGTTATTTCGGTTATAAAATTTAGTATCCATTCGGTTATTTTTAAATTTTCAGTTTGATTCGATTTTTTTGGTTCGGTTTTGGTTTGGTACATTTGGTTCGGTTTATTTCGCTAGACCGAGCCTAGAGAAGATGGTTGCCATCAGACGATTAAACAAACAGTAATAATTTTGGGCCGATGCGTGTAGGCCCATAAAAGCCCATTAAGAGAAGGAAACCCTAAAAACGAGAACAAAGGGATATACTGAGAGCATCTCGTTGGTTACTATATAAACAAGCTTTAGGCTGCTCTAACGCCTCCTTGCACCTCTTTTCTTCTCTCTCTCTTTCGTTCTCTTCAAGGTTAGTCTTCTTCTTCTCGTAGATCGTCGATGAAATTTCTCTTTGTTCCGTTTTGATGTTTAGATTATCGCGTTCTGCTGTTGATCTATGTTTATATCGCTCTGTTATCTCAATCAAAGAACCTTTGATGATTTATATCTGATTGTTGTTTGTTTCGACGAGTCTCTGTAGTTTTTGTACCGTTTGTTTTTCGTATCGATCTGGTTTAGATAGGTCTTTTATAGAATGAAACAACTCTTAATAGATCAAACGTTTTTCATAATCTCTTGTGTTTACTGTCTTTATGCATCATTAATCTTCTTCGTCTTCGACGATTTGCTCTGTGAGTCTCCGAATTGATTTATCATCTGATTTAGTTTAAGCTTTCCTTTATCTTTCTCTCTGTTTGTAATTTTCTTTGTCGATCTTTAGGGTTTCGTTTTAAGTCCTTTCTCTTTTTTACTTGATTTCACTATATCTAATCAAATATTTATGTTTTTCTCTTCCGTAGACTTATTAGTCGAATTAACTACTTAATGTTTCAAAATCGCAGTATTTATATATTTTTCTGTGTTGAAATATTTCAATTAATTTACTCAATCGCTAATTCTTTTTTTGGTCTATGGTATTGCAGAGATTTTGTAGGTGACAATCAAAAGTTTGACAAAATGGTAAGACTGTTGGTGTTTTTATTTGCTTATATAATTTTACATTACATAAACTTGCTGTATGGATTCAAACTTAACATATTTTTATACAATTGCAGGTGAAGTTTACAGCTGATGAGCTTCGAAGGATTATGGACTACAAACACAACATTCGTAATATGTCCGTTATTGCTCATGTCGATCACGGTATAATCTCCTACTCTTTTTTTGTATAATTCTTATCAGTTTTAGAAGTTTTTCAGTATTTATTTACAATTCTAATTTGTTTTGAATTTTAGAATATGTCTGGTTATTTATTTCTTGAGTTTGCTGAACGAATTAGAATGTAAGCTAATGCATCTTTATTTGCTGATCAACAGGAAAATCCACTCTCACTGATTCCTTGGTTGCTGCTGCTGGTATCATTGCCCAAGAGGTTGCTGGTGATGTTCGTATGACTGATACCAGAGCTGATGAGGCTGAACGTGGTATTACTATCAAGTCCACTGGTATTTCTCTCTACTACGAGATGACTGATGAGTCCTTGAAGAGTTTCACTGGAGCCAGAGATGGCAACGAATACCTTATCAACCTTATCGATTCTCCTGGGCACGTTGACTTTTCTTCTGAGGTTACTGCTGCTCTCCGTATTACTGATGGTGCTCTTGTGGTGGTCGACTGTATTGAGGGTGTCTGTGTTCAGACTGAGACTGTTCTACGTCAGGCTCTTGGTGAAAGGATTCGACCTGTCTTGACTGTTAACAAGATGGACAGGTGTTTCCTTGAGCTTCAGGTTGATGGTGAGGAGGCTTACCAGACTTTCTCCAGGGTCATTGAGAATGCCAACGTTATCATGGCTACATATGAGGATCCTCTCCTTGGTGATGTTCAGGTTTACCCAGAGAAGGGAACTGTGGCGTTTTCTGCTGGTCTCCATGGTTGGGCGTTTACACTGACCAACTTTGCAAAGATGTATGCTTCCAAGTTCGGTGTTGATGAAACTAAGATGATGGAGAGGCTCTGGGGTGAGAATTTCTTTGACCCTGCCACCAGGAAATGGAGTGGCAAAAACACTGGTTCCCCGACCTGCAAGCGTGGGTTTGTCCAGTTCTGCTATGAACCCATCAAGCAAATCATCGCTACTTGCATGAATGACCAGAAGGACAAGTTGTGGCCTATGTTGCAGAAGCTTGGTGTCACAATGAAGAATGATGAGAAGGAGCTTATGGGTAAACCTCTAATGAAGCGTGTTATGCAGACTTGGCTCCCTGCAAGTACTGCACTACTTGAGATGATGATCTTTCATTTGCCATCTCCCCACACTGCCCAGAGGTACCGTGTTGAGAATCTGTATGAAGGTCCTCTTGATGATCAGTATGCAAATGCCATCAGGAACTGTGACCCCAATGGACCTCTCATGCTCTACGTATCTAAGATGATTCCAGCCTCGGACAAGGGTAGGTTCTTTGCCTTTGGTCGTGTCTTTGCTGGTAAGGTTTCTACTGGTATGAAGGTCAGAATCATGGGTCCCAACTATGTCCCTGGTGAGAAGAAGGATCTGTATACTAAGAGTGTTCAGAGGACTGTTATTTGGATGGGTAAGAGGCAAGAGACGGTGGAGGATGTCCCTTGTGGTAACACTGTTGCTATGGTTGGGCTGGATCAGTTCATCACCAAGAATGCTACATTGACTAATGAGAAGGAAGTTGATGCTCACCCCATTCGTGCCATGAAGTTTTCTGTGTCTCCTGTTGTTCGTGTTGCTGTTCAGTGTAAGGTTGCATCTGACCTTCCCAAGCTGGTTGAGGGTCTCAAGAGGCTGGCCAAGTCTGATCCTATGGTTGTGTGCACAATGGAAGAATCTGGTGAGCACATTGTTGCTGGTGCAGGAGAGCTACATCTTGAGATTTGTCTGAAGGATCTGCAGGATGATTTCATGGGTGGTGCTGAAATTATCAAGTCAGACCCTGTGGTCTCCTTCCGTGAGACAGTTAGTGATAGGTCTATTCGCACTGTTATGAGTAAGTCTCCTAACAAGCATAACCGTCTCTACATGGAAGCAAGACCCATGGAGGATGGTCTAGCTGAGGCGATTGATGATGGACGTATTGGCCCAAGGGATGACCCTAAGATCAGGTCCAAGATCTTGGCTGAGGAGTTTGGATGGGACAAGGATCTTGCAAAGAAGATCTGGGCATTTGGACCTGAAACCACAGGGCCTAACATGGTTGTTGATATGTGTAAGGGAGTTCAGTACCTTAATGAAATCAAGGACTCAGTGGTGGCTGGTTTCCAGTGGGCGTCCAAGGAAGGTCCTCTATGTGAAGAGAACATGAGAGGCATCTGTTTCGAGGTTTGTGATGTGGTGCTTCACTCTGATGCCATCCACAGAGGAGGTGGTCAGGTTATCCCAACAGCCAGAAGGGTCATATACGCTTCCCAGATCACAGCTAAGCCCAGGCTTTTGGAGCCAGTTTACATGGTTGAGATCCAGGCACCAGAGGGAGCTCTTGGAGGAATCTACAGTGTGCTGAATCAGAAGCGTGGACACGTCTTTGAGGAGATGCAGAGGCCAGGAACTCCGCTGTACAACATCAAGGCGTACCTGCCTGTTGTGGAGTCTTTCGGATTCTCGAGTCAGCTTAGGGCAGCAACCTCAGGACAGGCTTTCCCACAGTGTGTGTTTGATCATTGGGAAATGATGTCTTCTGACCCTCTTGAGCCAGGTACTCAGGCTTCAGTTCTGGTGGCTGATATCAGGAAGAGGAAGGGATTGAAGGAACAGATGACTCCACTATCTGAGTTCGAAGACAAGCTTTAAGCTTTCACCAAGACTAGCCTTTTGCACTATGGTTACTATTCCCTCTATCTTATTTTTGTCGTGTTTTATGATTACTCTTTTGGTATGACGGATCGTGAAGACTTTCTCTCGCCATCCCCTCAATGTTTTTACTTTTTTCTTCTAGTTGAGAACTTTGTTATTGTGTTCGCAAATATCTGTGTTGATTTTGTCTCTCTTTTTTAATACTCTCTTCTCCTCGGATCATTCATATTCATGCATTCATAATCGTTAGGTTATATGTTTGTTAGGTTATCGAGAGAGTTTTGTGTTATTGAAAGTTGGAAGAATGCCGGTTTGGTAAGGTTTCTTACAGTTCGTTTTACAGAGTTGTTCTTAAACAGGGGAAGACAATTAGATTACTTTGTTAAGTTGGATAATGTAGAGAGAGTAATTGTCACATTCATGCATAATGCATTAGGTTTCGTGGCAATGGATGATGTGTTGTGGTATGGTTAGTTAATTTGAATGTTGAAGAATACAGCCATACAGGCAAATCCCATGAGAGCACCATAAAAAAATATTCAGTCGTTAGGCTGATTCATGATTCAACAACAATGGGAAATCTGGATATTGGTCGTACAAGGCAAACAATAATGTTGCAATCAAAACACAACAGATTGGTCGTACAAGGCAAACAATAATGTTACAATCAAAACACCGGTGAGAACACGTCACTTGACCTGGAACCTTCTGAGGCGACCAGAATCAACAGCGGCCTCCTACTTTTATTTGAAACGCGTTGTGTCGTGGTCGGTCGGCGAGAAACCGGAAGTTTCTACGAACAGACCTCCGAACAAAATTTAATGTCTTAAACCGGAAGGTAACGTCAAGAAAATGTATAAATATACACTTGAATTGAAGCAATTCACAAAAACAATTTCATCATCTCTCTTAACTCATCATTTATACAGACATATCAATGGCTCAGTATCATCAACAACACGGTGAGTCATTCTTGTACATTATACGATTGTTGGTATATGTTTAAGAAAGTTATATGACTGATGTATATATATACAAATATGTGCAGAAATGAAGCAGACAATGACAGAGACACCGTATGTGACAGCTCCGCCACCAATGGGTTACCCGGTGATGAAGAAGGAATCTCCCCAAACTGTGCAGCCTCCTCATCAGACGCAGAGCAAAGGCACTGGTGGCTTTTTACGTGGATGGTAATTTTTATCTTTTTCATCTATCTGTATTTGTTTCCTTCTTTCTTTTCTTTTTTGTATATTGAATTTTTTCTTTTGCAGTTTGGCTGCAATGTGCTGCTGCTGCGTTTTGGATTGTGTCTTCTAGGGAATCTTCCCACAACACACACAGCTTCTACGGATCTTTTTGTCTTGATTCTTGATTTTTTCTCTGTACCTTTTTATTAAGTTTTGGTTTGAGTGTTGCTATTTCTGATTTTGTTACATTTGGTTACTGTACTGTAATTACATCCTTATTATTTTGTACAGAATAATTTTATAAAAAGTTAGTTATTTCCCTGTTCTGAGTTTGACTATCATCAAAAACAAATGGTCAGCATTTGGCAGCAAATCTAATTTCTTGCATCTTGCCACTCAAAATTATTTCAGCCAAAAGATAGAGAAAGCTCACAAAAAGAAGAATCTCTAAATAGGAGATTCATATAAAATGGAATGATTGGCGTCAATACACATGCTTATTGCATAAAATTCTCATTGCCAATCCAAGGAAATCTGATATATCTTGTTCTACCCAACTTATACATCTCATCTTTGTTTGATAAAAAATTACTTCCTTAGAGTATAAAAATAAAAGAAAGGTATTACTATATATTGCAAAACCAAGAGAAATGAAAATACTAAAAGCCGTGCAGAAACACAAGCTGTGTTGTTCTGTGAAGAAGTGATTGAGATCTCGGGGTTATTATGCTATACGTTGAAGCGGAAAAGCATCACATCTCCTTCTTTAACAATGTACTCTTTACCCTCAGATCTCAACTGCAAAACAAATAAAATTTCAAGCAAACTCCGAGTGAGAAGAGTATCGTAAGATGTTTCATTACAAGGCAGCTCAATTTATAGACATCAGGAAGAAACTCACAAGTCCTTTCTCTCTTGCTGCTGCTAGAGATCCAGCAGAGACAAAATCTTCATATGCAACCTGCACAAAAAAAAACGATTGAGATGAGGTCTGGATTATTATGAAAGAAAATACCATACAGTTGAAACTTGGTCATGTTCAAAATAGGGAGCATAACTGTACAAGAGATTCATTAAGAGAAAAAAATGCTTACAGTCTCAGCTCTAATAAAACCTTTCTCAAAGTCAGAATGAATGACGCCAGCAGCTTGTGGTGCAGTCATGCCTGTATCCACAGAAACTTACACCAAATTACTTTCATATATTCAAGAAATAATGCATTATGAGAACCCTACTGAGTGGAAACTAACCTGCGTGTATTGTCCATGCTCTTGTTTCCTGCCATAGAGAATGAACATTTTAGAGTTTATGTATATGTTCTATAACAAGTTTTAGTCTTTGTATGTGTTCTTCACCTTTTCACCAGAAGTGAAATATGTCTGCAAACCTAGCAGGCTGTATGTTGCCCTGATAAGGTTCCCAAGGCCACTTTCACTGACACCTAGAGAGTTTAAATATTCTGTGCGTTCTTCCAGGGGAAGTTCGGTTAGCTCAGACTCAACCTGCTTCCATGAAAGGAAGATTTTGTAAAAGTAGTGGAAGAACGTTTTAAGTAAAATAGACAGTGCATGAAAACGTCATAGCATACGATGTAAATAGACAATGATCCTGACCTGTGCTGAAACAACCACATGTCCAGACTGCAAATCAGAAGAAAGACCCTTCACTTCTTCAACGTAAGCATTCTTCTCTGGCTCAGCAAGATCATTTTCAGCAACATTTGCCACATAGATCATAGGCTTCATTGTAAGCAAGCAGAGATGCTTTACAACTTCCATCTCGAGATCAGACAATGCAACTGACCGTGCAGGTTTTCCATCTAGAAGAGCTTCCTGAATTCTTTCCAAAGCAGATTTTTCAGCCTCCTCCTGTGTCATAGAATGTCACATACACATTATGAATATCAGCAGACCAGATTATGGGAAGTCAGTAATTTCTTGGGCCAAGATTTGTACCTTATTTTTGGATTGTGAATCCTTAGCCTTCCCTTTCTTAAGTCTCTCGATCCTTTTACCAATCTGCATTTCTTGCAAAAGATCCAAATTAGCTTTTTCAACTCTGTTTTAGCTTAAAGGTGTTCCAGAGTGTTTCGAACGCAGATAAGAAAGAAGATCAATACTCTCCCTAGTACAAGATCAAGAAATGAACAGCTCATTGAACATTGAAACAGAAAGAGAATGGCTCTGAGTGTACCTGATCCAAGTCGCAGAAAATAAGTTCGAGATTGATGACATCAATGTCAGACTTGGGATCAACTTTGCCATTCACATGAATAATGTCATTGTCCTCAAAACATCGTACCACCTGAACTGAAAACAGTTACATAGCCAGAAGGAACATAAGCAATTACTGAGGCAAACAAGGAGTAGAGAAATGAACCTGGAGGATGGAATCAACTTCTCTGATGTGAGATAAGAACTTATTGCCTAAACCCTACAAAAAAATCAAAACTTAGTATGGAATCGTCGGCATTGAGATAGAGAGAGAGATAAGAGCAGAGAAAAGAATCTGACTTCGCCTTGACTAGCACCCTTGACAAGACCAGCAATGTCAACAAACTCAATGGATGCAGGAACCGTTTTCTGAGAACCACTAAGTTTGGAAAGCACTTGAAGACGCGAATCAGGAACAGCAACAATACCAACATTAGGCTCAATCGTACAAAAGGGAAAATTAGCAGCTTGAGCCTTTCCATTCTCAACCTGAGACAATCACACAAGGTGTTTGATGAAATGCCTGAGAGAAGAAGAACCACACAAGCGCATCAATGAATGGGGTTGGATATATAGACTTACGACGGCGTTGAAAAGAGTAGACTTGCCGACGTTAGGAAGACCGACGATTCCAGCTTTCAAGCTCATGCTTACTTTGGATGCAAAGCATCGCTTCTGGAGAGTCAAAACTCCGACGAACTTGGAATTACCGGAGAATAACAACTGGTTTCTACATAAGAGAGACGTAGAGGGTAAGAAAGCCAAAGCCGTGACGACACTGGTACAAGCTGCTCTCGCCATCGTACTAATTTTCTCAACCTCTCAGCTCTAAAGTTTTGTTTATCTTTTTATTGCATATTACAGAGAATGGTGTTGATTGGTCCTTTGTTTTTAGATTAATAAGCATATTTGCCAATTTTATATGGTTGATTAAATTCATTTTGAAAACTGTTTCATTAGCTTAAGCTAATCATTTTCTTAAAACTTACAGTATACTACTTCTTCTCTAGTTTCATGACAGAACAAAAGATTGTTTGTTGTCTGAACAATTAGTCAAAAATAAGCTTCACCCATACTGAAAACAGTGATGATAAGATAAAAGGATCTGTGATTGATTATAGATAAGAGCACAAACGCAAGTTTTACATACATCCCAGAATGTTCAAAACTCGATACTAAAAAGAAAAAGGTTTGTTTGCTAAAAAGAAAGTCTCAAGACAAAACAGAATCACAGAGAGCCGAGAGAGTTATTAGGGGGAGGAACTTGGTTGTTGGTGGTCTCTACTTGGATCGCTGTCTCATCTTTCGACGCTTCCTCTTCAATCTCCTCATACGCTTCTTCTTCCACTGCAATAATATCCAAAAACCATAACCAATGTCGTCATTATTACTGAATAACAACAATACACAGAATGAAAGAAACAGGACATAATAAATGGAGAGATTATTACAACCTAACCTAACCCAACCTATAAGAACTACGGTTTCAAGAAACTGTAATGGGTTTTATGGCACAGAGATCGTTCCAATCAAGATTAACCTTTGCAAAATCTCAATACACCAAATTTAACATGTAAAATATGAACAAAAATATCTTTTGGACGCAATGTGATGCAAAATCGATTATCAATTCTTAATAGTTCTAATATCAAAAACACAATCCTAAGATCTTCTTGTACGGCTTTACTAAAGACGTATAACACAGGCAATATAGTATATAACTCTATCTATACCTTTCTCTATACGTACGTATATCATATGTATCCATAAATGAATGCGTCTTAGATAATCTAATCGATGAATCTAACGCTAGTGAGTTCAAACACAAAGAACAATATTGAATCGGAGAAGACGAAGATGTTACCTTGGCTCTCATTGTTGTTGTTGGTACTTAGTTACAGATTCGCCGATTTCTCTAGAAAGAAAAGAGAAATGATAAATGAAGAGAGAGAGTCTCTTCTATTTATAGCTAGGGTTTCCACCATCAATGGGCCACTAAATGGGCCTGTCTACTGAATTCAGTCAAATTTCCATCTTATGGGCCGAAGTTAATTAAAATCCAGTGAAGGAGAGACACGTCACACTTGCTCTGCATGACAAGAAGAAGTTTAAACGTTTTTAGTCAACTTTTTAGCTTCTCAAGAAGCGCAGAAAATCAGAGTTGCACAATAAGAAGAAGAAGAAGTAGAAGAAGAAGAAGAATTCCGGAGATCTTATGCTCATGGATTCTCGCCGGAGTTTCATCGGTGTATGTTCGATGGAGGAGAAGCGAATGCTGGAAAAATTAAAGAGGTAAAAAAAGCTTTGGAACTCTTTCTTCTTGGCTACTAATTCTTGTATATCTTGTAACAATGTAATTAATAGATATGGCTAGTTTGGATTCGTTTTCAAAGTTGTAGCTATTTCTTCTTGGTAACATTTCTTGATTCGTTTTGCTTTTTAATTCGTGTAGTTTACTTAACTGGTTGACGCAACGCAACCTTTGACAAGATCAAGGATGAGATTGTTCATACAATAAGATCATCTCCATCTGCTTTTATCTTGAAGGTTCTCTGTCCCTTTTTGTTGATAAATATATTATGAGACTTTTCTAATGGTATTTTTATTTATGTCGCAGTCTCTAGTGTCTTGCATTTTCGATATGGCAATGGTGGAAAATTCCTATGTCTTATTCGCTCGCTTATGCGTAGAGCTTTTTCACGAGCTTCCTCCTCTTCCATCAGATGAATCTCACGGCGATATTACAACTTTTGAGAGACTGTTTTTGCGTAAATGCCGAATTGAGCTTGAAAACTCATCCCCCAAAACAGAACATTTACCACTTGTTTATGTTGATGAATCAAACTGTTACAGATTCATCAAAACCGTAAGGGTTTTAGCTGAAGTTTTCAAGAATAAGAAGATCACTGAAACAACCCGTAAAAGCATAATTCAGGTTTGCCTTGACTTGCCTTGCGTTTTTTATTTATTTTCACTCTTGGATCTGCTTCTACTTAAGGATTTAATTTAGAGCACATGATAATTTCAATTGTAATGTATAGGTGCTTATGAATCCCATCTTACCACCTGAGAGGATCACCGATGCGATGAATTTATTTCTGTCCACCATTGGAAAACTAGCTGACTTCCATTTTTCTGATGAAAATTTCAATCAGCTAATTCGAAGTTCTCGGGTAACGTACCTTTATATCGGAAGACATGAATATATCTAAAAGCTTAATCTTTTGGTTTGCGTATATCTCTCTAACGCTAGCTTGATTTACAGGCTGTAGAGTTAGAGAGAAATTACAATGACGAAGTAAAGCTTAGGAAAGAAGCAGAAGATGCACTTGCTAGAAAAAAGAAAGAAGTGGAGATGATGGAACGATTACTTGAGTCTTACAAGGAAGAACAAGGTAAATTGCAACTTCAAGCTAAAGCCTTGGAGCACAAGCATGAAGCAGAGTTGAGGCATAGGAAAGAAACTGAAACCTTGCTTGCCATAGAACGGGAGAGGTTAGAGAAGGTAAAGATTCAACTGGAAACTGTTGAAAATGAACGCGATGATACGCGTTTGAAGGCTAAAGAGTTCGAAAGCAAGTACGAGGGTGAGATGATTCTCAGGATAGGATCAGAGAGTGCGCTGGATAAAGAAAGGAAAGAGTTGGAAGAAGTAAAGCTACTGCTTGAAACCTACAAAACAGAGCAAGAGAGTCTGACCTCAGAGGTCAGAACTTGGCAGGACAAGTACGAGCAAGAGTGTCGTCTACGGAAACTAGGGGAGGATGCACTTTCTAGAGAACAAGAAGAGCTTCAGATAGTCAAAGGACTGCTAGAATTTTACAACGGAGAAGCAGATGCGATGCGAGAAGAGAGGGACAATGCTCTCAAAACAGCAAAAGAGCTAATGGAAAAGCGTCAACCTCCATCATCGTTTTTCTACCCTATCACACAGGCAAGCACAAATCTTATACAAGAATATGATAACTTGCATAACACTCAATCTCGTATTGTTTATATTTGTCGCAGGAGGTCATGAATGATCCACACTTTGCTGCCGATGGATTCACATACGAAGCAGAATCTATTAGGAAATGGTTTAGAACAGGTCACCAGACGTCGCCGATGACAAATCTCCCGCTTCCACATCTCACTCTTGTCCCTAATCGTGCTCTCCGGACTGCGATTGAGGAGTTGGTTTGATTCTTCCTAATTTTCGAACCGGTTTACAATTAGAAGTTAGAAGATTTAGTCTATAAAATGGTCTCACGACTCTATTTATGAGTCTTCCTTGAATTTGTGATCCCAAGTATTTTAAAATCTCTCTTAGTCGGAAACTCATTATTGTATAAAATGTTTTGATAATATTTAGATATATAACTTTATAGTCTTGAGATATTAATTCTTTGATAATATTTTGTCGATTATAAATGGGCAATTCTCTAAAATACCAAATTTTAAAGTTTTTGTTCCACAAATATTAATTTTTTGATAATATTTTGTAGATTATATATGGGTGTTTTTATTATATAATATATAAGTGTATATGTACAATATTTGGGTATCTTATAACAATATAACAGCTAATGATTTAGATTCGTTTTAGGAGTTCTATATAAAATAAGCTCTACAATATAAGATGAACTATACAAATATAACACAACCCTTATTTCCTCATATTAATTGATACTAGGGCTCTTAAGTAAATTACCATATAATATCTTTTGGTATCTCTAATTATGTTATTTTTCTATTATTCTAGGGTTTGTGTATTTACTTAATAATTAGCCAGAGTGGCAGACCATTCTCATTGATCCTTAATTTGTGGATTGATTTTGCCTTTCGAGTTCTTTGTTATAGGATAAACCGGTTAATGTTAATGAGAGAAAGTCTCATCGGAAGTTGGAGAAATTATTAAGTGATATATAAAGGGTTAGGGCCAATCCACTCATTGCCAATTGGTTTTGAGTTGGAAGCCCATGATAAGCCCGAATTTAACATGGTATCAGAGCCACCGATCGTTGGCCACCCTGTGGATGTTGTTCCCACATATGCCCACGCTTCAGATGTTCATGTCTGAGCGTGAGGGAGGGTGTTATTGAAGTCCCATATCGGGCCACCCCGTGGATGTTGTTCCCACATATGCCCACGCTTCAGAGCCAACGATGCATGAGCGTGAGGGGGGTGTTAATGAGAGAAAGTCCCACATCGGAAGTTGGAGAAATTATTAAGTGATATAAAGTGTTAGGGCCAATCCACTAATTGCCAATTGGTTTTGAGTTGGAAGCCCATGATAAGCCCGAATTTAACAGTTAATAACTTGGTTTGGACTCTCTGATCTATGGTTTAGTTAGTTATGATTTTGTTATAGGATAAACCCGTTAATAACATGGTTTGGGCTCTTTGATCTCTTGATTTAGTTAAATATGTAAGGCTTTAGCGACTTTCTAAAAACCCAATCAATCAAATTATCAAAACCCTTAAATCTCCGTGTTACGATTATAGATTCTCAATCCTTGGAAGTGATTCTTCTTCCTTGGTAATCACTTTCTTGGCTGAGATCTCCCTCGGTGAGTTCTAGATCAGGGTTTTACTATCATCAACAAATCCTGTCTCATTCTTGTAGTTTACTCAACTGGTTGACACGACGCAAATTCGACAAGATCATTAAGGATGAGATTGTTCATACAATAGGAGCATCTCCCTCGGCTGTTATCTTGAAGGTTACGTTCTCTGTCGCTTTTTATAGACTTATGAGACATTTTATAATGGTTTAATTTGATCACTAATATGTATGTATATATTAAATACATGTTGCAGTCTCTATTGTCTTGCGTTTTTGGATATGGAAACTGTGGAAAACTCCTATGTAGCTCGTATATGCGTAGAGCTTTTTCATGAGCTTCCCCATCTTCCATCAGATGAATCTCAGTGCGAAATTACAACTCTTGAGAGACGGTTTTTGCGTAATTGCCTAGTAGAGCTTGAAAACTCATCCCCCAAAACAGAACCACTGACACATGTTTATGTTGATGAATCAAACTATTGGAGATTCATCAAAACAGTTAGGGTTTTGGCTGAAGTTTTCAAGGATAAGAAGATCACTGAAACAACACGGAAAAGTTTAATTCAGGTTTGCCTTTGCCTTGCCTTTTATTTCTTTTTACTCTTGGATCTACTAATAAAGGGTTTAATTAAGAGCATAGTACTAATTGTAATGTAGGTGCTTATGAATCCCATCTTACCACCTGAGAGGAATACCTAAGCAATTAATATATTTATTTCTGTCCTCCATTGGAAAACTAGCTGACTTCTAGGCTTGATTTACAGGCTATAGAGTTGGAGAATAAGTACAATGACGAAGTCGAAGTCAAGCTTAGGGAAGGAGAAGATGCACTTTCTAGAACAAAGGAAGAAGTAGAGATGATGGAACAGTTACTTGAGTCTTACAAGGAAGAACAAGGTAAATTGCAACTTCAAGTTAAAGCCTTGGAGCACAAACATGAAGCAGAGTTGCAGCGTAGGACAGAAACTGAAATCGCGTTAGCCATAGAACGTGATTATATGCGTTGGAAGGCTGAGTATTTCGAGAGCGAATACAACGAAGAACTGGCACGCAGGAGAGAAGACGTGAAAGCGTTGGAGGGGTTAAAGCAACTGCATGAAACTGTAATAATAGAAAAAAAGAACCTGAATTCACAGGTGATAACATGGCAAGACAAGTACGACCAAGAGTCAATTATTAGAAAAAAAACAGAGGATTCGCTTTCTACTAAAATACTAGCGCTCAAGATTGTCAAAGGAATTGTCGAATCGTACAAACAAGAAACAGATGCAATGCGACAAGAGAAGGACAATGCTCTTAAAACAGCACAAGAGACAGTGCGCCTTCGTCAGCCTCCATCATCATTTTTCTGCCCTATAACACAGGCGAGACCATATAATTCTCTACAAGAAGATAACTTGCATAACACTCAAAAGTCTTGTAAACTTTTTAACATGTTAATGTGGTTTATATTTGTCGCAGGATGTCATGGAAGATCCACACATGGCTGCCGATGGATTCACATACGAATTAGAAGCTATTAAGAAATGGATTAGCACAGGTCACAAGACGTCGCCGATGACAAATCTCAAACTGTCACATCTCAACCTTGTCCCTAACCGTGCTCTCTACTCTGCGATTCAGGAGTTGCTTTGATTCTTCTTGTTTAGCTAACTGGTTCACTCTGTAAGTACCAAGTTGATATTGGGCCTATGATGGGCCCATGAGTCTATTTATGAGTCTTACTTCAATTTGTGATTGATTGTATTCTAAACCTTTTTTCGAATAGGAGACTCATAACCGGACCTTGTTTTCTTTTATACAATATCCGAAAATAAAAACAAAGTCATTTCTCAGAACGGTAAAGAAGACTTGTGTGCGTAAACACCTAAATTGCCATGAAAACTGAAAAGCCAAACAAACAAAAGACCAAGAAATATAAAAGAAAGCCAAAAATTTTATATGTTCCCACGTTTTTAGGTAGCAAAGAAAATAAAAATCCAATACACGTCATACTTGTTGTACATGATGACAAGAAAATGTTTAAACGTTGGTCAACTTTTGTAGTTTCTCGAGAGAAATTCAGAGTGACTAGTTATCGAAGAAGAAGAGTTATTCCGGCGATCTTGGAATCTCGCCCGAGTTTCATCTGTATAAGTTTGAACCAAGAGGAGCTAGAGCTGTAAAAAATCAAAACGGTTAAGCGTATCAAGTCAAGTTGTTTTTTTTTTTTCTTTTTTTTCATTTGGCAGGAATATTATAACTTTCGAAATACTAATTATTTGATAATATTTTGTATATGAACGTATTCGTTTTGGGAGTTTGGTATAAATAAGCTCTTATGTAAATACCGTTCTTTTTCATATTGATTGATAGTAGGGGCTCTTATGTAAATATCATATAATATCTTTTCGTATATACAGTATCACTTATTATGTGTAACTTCTATTATTCTTCGAGGTGGTATCTAGGGTTTGTTGGTTGACTCAACGCAACTTCGAAAAGAACAAGGATGAAATTGTTCATACAGTAATATTAACTCCCTCCGCTTTTATCTTGAAGGTTCTTCTGTCGCTTTTTGTAGACATACGAGAGTTTTTTATCTAATGGTTAATCTGATCACTAATATGTATGTTTTTCTAATGGTTTGGTCACTAATGAATATGTATTTCTATATATATGTTGCAGTCTCTAGTGTCTTGCGTTTGTTGATATATATGGCAACGGTGGAAAAGTCCTATGTATTATTCGCTCGTTTATGCGTAGAGCTTTTTCAAGAGCTTCCCCCTCTTCCCACTACAAGAAAAATGGCTTTTCTTAGCATCCGAATAACGCTATCTAACTATTCTATAGCATTTTGACAAACGCTATATCTGCGCCCGTCATAATAGGTCAGACACTTTAGATTACGTTTTTTTGTTCTGCTATCGTATTGTCGTATACAATAACGTTTAATTGAATGTAATTAAATATTATATAATAGCGTATTTTTGTTGTTATTAATGATATTATTAACAACATTTTGGAATTGCTATTTTTATATAAATATAACCATTTCTATTTGTTTTATACTAATTTGAATCAATATATATAAATCTGGGTATAAGAAACAGTATATTTAATCAAAATACTTCATTTATTTGTCATGAAGAGTCAAACCTAAGCTCTACATATTATAAAACACCAAGATAAGGAGTTCAAAGTACTTCATATATAAAACCCATGCAAATGTTTCAAATTCTCAATTTGCTCTCCACACTCGTGCACCATCAACCTTGAAAACCTCTACCCAGACCTTGCTAGCGTTGGAACCTAAAGGGATGAAATGGACCTTCTCTGCTCGATCACTTGAAGACACACGACATATTGCAACTCTCTGCCCAGAGTTGACAAAAGAAATAAGAAAAAGTTAAGCAAAGAGTACGGAAAAATTGGAATTCACAAGAAATGTTGGTTTGTTTACCTTAGTTCTATCCCATCCTCCTCTCCTAACTCAACTTTTCAAGTTGCATACAAGAACAGATTCCACGACGCCTCCCTTTGACCTAGAATAGCATGTATAGATTTAAAACAAAATGATAAATCACAACTTTTGATTAACCTTACAAGTTGCATCAACTAGATATAGCATGAAACATGGCACAAACATGACACAAAGTTAAGTCAACTGAAAAGATCTTATAGAAGAGAAACTTATAATAAAACAAACATTAGCAATCGAGTTTCTCATCTATTTGCTCACCAAAGCATCAAACTTTGGCTTGTATTTCGGAGTAACAGTGTCAACGTACTTAAGAATCTCAATGCCTACATTAAACAAAAAACATCAATCAAATATACAACTTAGCTTCTCAGAGAACAAAATAAAAGCACACAGAAAAATTCCGCTTGATAACTACCCTTAAACTAGTACAAATTAAAGATTAAACCCTAACCTCGAATCTGATTTCACCTCAACTTGATTCATCACCTATCTTCACGATCTGTTGTCTTAATCCTCACAATATCGCTCATCTCTTCATCAATCGCTGTTAGGACTCCTCCCTTCTACCATCGAGAGGCCACACAGATCCAATGCTCCGACGAAAAGGATCGTATTTCTTCCTAATTATCCCTCACTTTCATCTCTGAGAACATCAATTCCTTCAAAAATCGAACCAAATACATCCATCCTCGTGGCTCAATTAAATCAAATTAGAAGAAAAAAAACCAACACAAAGAGTTAAAAAATCGTAAGAGTTATGGATGAAAAGCACAAATTGGAGAACCCTAAATTAATATCTCAAACATTAAGAAGAATTCGGAAGAGACTCACTGGCGGCTAAGATGTGGAAACGGCGACAGATCTAAGAGGCAATGATGGAGCTAGGGTGGAAGGCGGAGATCCCTTGTAACTATCGGAAAACTAGCATAACATCTCTCGTTACGTCTTCTTCGATTACTTTGGCGGTACATCATAAGCGGCGACGAGATCTGAAAAAAAAAAAAAAAAATTAGATCTGGAAAAATGAGTTTGCTGGAGAAGACGAGAAAAGAGGGAGAAGAGGAAGAGGTGAAGAAGATGAAGAAACGAAGAGACTAAGAAGCAAAGAGGAGAAGTGGATTGAGCGAGAATAGAGTAACGGAGATGAAGAGAAGTCAAAGAAGATAGACGGTTTCATTAGCCTGATGAATAAAGTGAAAGAAAAATAAAAAATTAAGGGTTTGTGGATAAGAGTTTCTAGAGCCCAATTTTAGTTTAGGCGGTCACTGACTTCTTTTCTCCCGCTAATTTTTCCATAACGTTTTAGTTGTGTATATATGCTATCATATACCATGTTAAAAAAAAATTGAGCGAAAAAATTGAGCCAGCGCATAACTTTTTATCTGCATAACATATTATAGCGTGTATCAATTTAGAAACGCTACAAAAGAGTTAAGGGTAAATCAACTATAGCATAAATACATAAATCGTTATCTTTTAATGCTATTAAAACTCAATATTCTTGTAGTGTCCATCAGATGAATCTCACGGCGAAATTACATCTTTGGAGAGACAGTTTTTGCGTAAATGCCAAATAGAGCTTGAAAACTTCTCCATCGAAACAGATCTTCCACTTGTTTATGTTGATGAATCAAATTATTGGAGATTCATCAAAACTGTTAGGGTTTTGGCTGACGTTTTCAAGAATATGAAGATCACTGGAACAACACGGAAAAGTATAATTCAGGTTTGCCTTTTTTTTTCACTCTTGGACCTGCTTCTAATTAATTAAAGGGTTTAATAAAGAGCATAGTAAGTACTAATTGTAATGTAGGTGCTGATGAATCCCATCTTGCCACCTGAGAGGAGCACTGATGCAATGAAATTATTTCTGTCCACCATTGGAAAACTAGCTGACTTACAGTTTTCTGATGAAAATTTCAATCAGCTTTTTTTAAGTTCTCGGGTAACACAACCATCCAAAGACATGATTGATATCTTCTAAACATAATCGTGTTGGTATGCATGTATATATGTCTCTAATGGCAGCTTAATTTACAGGCTACTATAGAGTTGGAGAATAAGTACAATGACGAAGTCGAAGTCAATCTTAGGAAGGAAGCAGAAGATGCACTTGCTAGAAAGTTTAAGGAAGTAGTAGATTTGACGGAACGGTTACTTGAGCCTTACGAGAAAAAACAAGGTCAATTGCAACTTCAAGTAGAAGCCTTGGAGCACAAACATGAAGCAGGGTTGCAGCTTAGGACAGAAACTGAAATCGCGGTAGCCATAGAAGGTGATTTTATGCGTTGGAAGGCTGAGGAGTTCGAGAGCGAATACAAGAATGAAGTGGTACTCAGGAGAGAATCAGAAACTGCGCTGGATAAAGAAAGGAAAGAGTTGGAGGGGATAAAAGAACTGCTTGAAACTTGTGTCACAGAACAAGAGAACCTGAATTCGCTGGTGATAACATGGCAAGACAAGTACGACCAAGAGTCAATTATTAGAAAAGAAAAAGAGGATGCTCTTTCTACTAAAAAAACAGAGCTCGAGACTGTCAAAGGACTAGTCGAATCGTACAAACAAGAAGCAGATGCGATGCGACAAGAGAGGGACAATGCTCTCAAAACAGCACAAGAGATAGTGGACGAGCAACAACCTCCACCTTCATTTTTCTGCCCTATCACACAGGTATAACTCCACAAGAAGATAACTTGCATACCACTCAAAAATAATCTTGTATAGACTTTTTTTAACAAGATAATGTGGTTTATATTTGTCGCAGGAGGTCATGCAAGATCCACACATGGCTGCTGATGGATTCACATACGAATTAGAAGCTATTAAGAATTGGATTAACACAGGTCACCAGACCTCACCGATGACAAATCTCCCGCTTCCACATCTCAACTTTGTCCCTAACCGAGCTCTCCGCTCTGCCATTGAGGAGTTGGGTTGATTTTTCTCGTTTTTCAAACCGGTTTACTCTCTCTATCTATAAGTTCAAAGTTGCTATTGGGCCGATAATGGCCTCATGAATCTATTTATGAGCCTTATTTCAATTTGTGATCCATTGTATTTTAAACCTCATTATTTTGAATCGGAAACTCATAACCGGGTCGTACGTGGCCTAATCCGGACCTTGTTTTCTTTGATAAAATATCCGAAAATAGAAACAAAGCCATTTTTCCTCAGAACGGTAAAGAAGACAAGTGTGCTTTTGTAGACACACCTAAAACGCCATGAAAAGCCAAACATACGAAAGACCAAGAAATATAAAAGAAATTAGGGAAAAAACCTGAAAAAACCGCCATCTATTTTTTTTGGCCGTTTAATACCTGTGTTTTTAAATTTGGAATAAAAATACTTCATTTAGTTTCGATTGCCTTTTAAAACTATCGTTTTTTAAAACTTGGTAATTTCGAACCCGACACTTAACAGTCGTTACTGGGCGTAACGGAATTATTTAACGGCGTTAAATTTTAACCGGCAAAAAACCCGAAAAAACCGCCATCTATTTGTTTTGGCCGTTTAATACCTGTGTTTTTAAATTTGGAATAAAAATACCTCATTTAATTTCGATTGTCTTTTAAAACTATCGTTTTTAAAAACTTGGTAATTTCGAACCCGAAACTTAACAGTCGTCACTGGACGTAACAAAATTATTTAACCGCGTTAAATTTTAACCCCACGAGTTTATATAAATATATACTATCTGTTTGCATATAAATATATACTATCTGTTTGCATGTTAGTTTTGTAAACCTTAGAAGCTGGGTTTGACTCTTCAAGACTTCAACCTCTTTTTTTTTTTTATTAGTTTCTTTTTGTGTTCTTCGTCTTCTTCGCCGGTGGTGACGACGACTTCTTCTTCTCAGATCTCCGATGATGCAAACTAGTCTCTCTCTCTTTCTCTTCTTCACTCGAATCTCTTTTTTGATAATGGGTTTTTGCCGAGATCCATCCCATTTATGTATAGATCTGATCTGATTGATGTCGATTTAGTTGCTGTTCTTTTTCAATGGTAGATCTAATTGCAGAATCGATTTGTTGAAATCGCTCTATGATTCATCTTTTGTTTGCATTTCGAGTCTTAACTTTGTACTGATGGGAAGTTATTCGAAGTGGAGAACAAAGAGAAAAAAAAAACAGGTTTAAGATTCAAACCCGGATCTGGTGGTTTAAAAAAAAACACACGCTACCACTAAACCACATTGACATTCTCGTAATGTGTTGTGAGCAGTTTGTATATATTTATATAAACATGTGGGGTTAAAATTTAACGCTGTAAAATAATTCTGTTACGCCCAGTAACGACTGTTAAGTCTCGGATTCGAAATTACCAAGTTTTAAAAAACAATAGTTTTAAAAGGCAATCGAAATTAAATGAGGTATTTTTATTCCAAATTTTAAAACACAGGTATTAAACGGCAAAAAAAAAAATAGATGGCGGTTTTTCTTGGTTTTTTCCCGGTTAAAATTTAACGCCGTTAAATAATTCCGTTACGTCCAGTAACGACTGTTAAGTGTCGGGTTCGAAATTACCAAGTTTTAAAAAACGATAGTTTTAAAAGGCAATCGAAATTAAATAAGGTATTTTTATTCCAAATTTAAAAACACAGGTATTAAACGGCCAAAAAAAAAATAGATGGCGGTTTTTTCGGGTTTTTTCCCAAAGAAATTAATATGTTCCCACTTTTTTCGGTAGCTATGAAAATAAAAAATCACGTGACAATCGGACAATGTGACGTAACACAACTCTTTGATCGCTTTTATTCAGAGAGAGAGTCTGATATTTTCAACGAGTAATGGAATAGTTTTCGAAATAGTTACACCTAGCCAGAAATTATTATTTGCTTTTGTTGCTCCATTTAAACTCAACGATGCATGCTTAAAAAGCCAAAACTCTAATCACTGACCTAAGCCTAGAGGTCTCCTATATTTTATCTTTTCAAACTTTTATTTACTGTTGGTAATTAGCATTGAATATCTTTTTGTTACCAAAATTTGAAAACGACGATCTAGAGAGAGGAGAGTAATAAATATTGAGAGAGAGACAAAAGTGAGAGAGGAACAAGAACAAGAAAGTACGTAGATGTACAGAGGGAGATAAGAAGAGGACAAGACAATGGCCTGCAGATTTTTTTTACACATCGGTCAATAATAAACTTCCAATATTTGGCTCTATATATTATTGCAACTTGTTTACACCAAAACATACAGATACACACATTTCATACACTTTTATATTCACCTATAAGACAAAATATATCTTCTTTGTTTTTTCAAAAAATTTGTTTGTTTGTTTTCCTTCTTACCTCTTTCTATTAGAAACATTCAATTATTACTATTCAAATCTTACATTTTGTTCTTTGTAACAAACAGCTAAGAACCCAGCTCAAGCTGTCCTATCTTCTCTGTCTATGTTCCGTAGCACAAATATATGTCATTCACTCAAAATATAGCTAGCTTATAGTATATATTTACAAATACTATTCAGAAAATGTGGTTTTTGATTGGTATAATTACAAAATATATACAAATATTTGATGACGTGTCAACTGTCAAGTTAAAGCAAAAACCAAATATAATATAGGGAAACTCAACTTGAGCGCCATGCCATGTATTGTAGTAAACTCTCAAAGCTAATACTAAGTTTTAGGGTTTTGATCGTATAATATATTTTAAGTCTTTTTGTCGTTTTTTTGTAAAAGAAAACGAGATCAAGAAAGGAGGATTAAGTGTTAATTAATTATAATTAGCTTATGTCTTTAACTTAATTTAATCGCCGTTGGATGGATTAAAATAATGTAGAGAACGATTATTTGTAACTAATTTTTTCTTCTTTGTCGGCCTTTCTCTACTTAAGCCATTTGTCGTGACACTGTTTATGAGTATGAAAAAAGACAGATGCAAAAAGAGCAGAGTTAAAGTATCAATCGGGAGAGAGAGAATCTTTTACAGAGGGCACAACACTGGGAACTATCACGTTCTCTCATTCATATCCTTCTATTACCTCTATTTCTTTTTTAATTACCATTTTCTATGTGACATTATGGACTTATGGTAGATAATTGTATGTACTAAAGTATTTAATGATTTAGGAAAATGTATTTGACTATTTGAAATGTGATTCAATTTGGAATTTTAGTATTATTTTTTCCTATAGCCAAACAAACGACAAGAGAAAGATAGGTCCGGTAAGAAAAAGAAACACATGCATTGATTTCAGATCTATATATCGATTTTATGGCATGCAAATATAGTAGGAGTATAGTATTAAATATATATAGATGGTTTGATTATTTAAAGGCAGCAATAAATCAATAGGCTTAAATTTAATGTGTTATGTCGTTTATAAATTGATATTGATAGATCCTATTATTTGACCTAACGGCTACTTGTCACTGAAGTAAAGTATGACAAAATGAAGTGATTGTCTGTGTATGATATGATAATTCTCTATCTCTCTATCTATAACTCAGAAAATTTCTACAATAACTAAAGAATGTGTATAATTTGCATTTATTCTTGTCTTCGTCTATTGTAGTGATTGGGGAAGAAAGAATCCAACGGCTGGGATTTAAGGACTGATGTTCCAGAATATAACGAGCAAGTACTTTATATATATATATATATATATATATATATATATTTTTTTTTAATAGCATATAATCTTTTTGTAAACAGAATAATTCGATGAAGCTAACTTATTTAGTTACCGGGATTTATATAGCTGTAAGGCTAGCTACTACGAATGACAGCTCTCTTCAGGCTTTGACCCTTTACAGTATTTTTTCATGAGATCTGTCCCTTAATTACATTTATTAATCTATACCTTAGTTGTCTCTTCACTCTCTTGAAATCTCCAATACACATATTATTTAATTTCATTATTATTATAAACATAATCTATAGACAAATAATAGATTCCAGAAGAATGTGATATTACTGAGAGAGGTTTCAACTAAACTTCAACATTTTCTTTTAAGTTTTGATATAAGAAAACAAGTTACAACGTTTTAAAATCGGTTGTTTAATTAGTTAGTTGATAGATGCCCAATGATATATTGTGTTACTATAAATCAACCAAACAAATCGGGCTGCCGTTAAGTCGGGTCTAGACAATCGATTACTCGATTTTATGTACCCGAGTAAACCATAGTGAATCGAATCCATTAAACGGTCTTAAATGTTCACTAATCTAGTTTAGAGCATCTATAGATCTTACAATAATGGAAACTAGTGACTAATCCCTAAAATGCTAAACATACTTTTGAAAGTTTGATTAGCTAGGCGCTGTCCACTTTTTGAACATTGAAAAAAAAAAGTAAAAGAGTCTATAATATGTTTTGGGAAGACATGGAAGATCCTCTTGATTTGGTCCACCGACCTATTTTAGTCTATATATATGCTCTCTACTCTACTAACTACACATGCAGTTTCCAAGTACTACTACTAATTATCTCTAGCTAGTTTTTGCTTTAAACCAAATTCAAAGCTGTCTTTTTAGTTAAAAAGTTACTAAGTTCTTGTTTCTTTCAAATTAAGCTTATGAAGTTGTCGTATTTAAAACAATACATATTGAAGTTGAACAAGCTAAACAATTAAAGCCAAACCGAGGAGGATTTGCAATTTGGATCTTCACTGATCACATGCAAAAACATTATTAGGAAAAAAGGTGATAAAGCATACTTTGCTTTTTTCGTAACTCGAATAATTAAAACTAGGAACTTCTCCTCTAACCAGTAATTACAAATCACATAATTTTTCTTTATTTGTTTATTAATCATCTTTTGGTTATTCTGTCAAAAACTATTTTTATACATACAGAAATCTTCTGAAGCAATCTCCGAACATGGCAAGCACATCAGACTTTCTGGTCAGACTTTTTTTTTTAATATTTCATCGAATTTATCGTTTAACAGATAAATATATTTTTATTGCTGTTTGGTCTTTCCGAGTAAAATCAACGACGCAATCGATGAGGTTATGAAAATATGTTATGATTAATGCGATAGACCGAGAAAATAAATTGTTAAACCGTATTTACATATCCAGTCCCCAAATTTAACTTCAGTTTACAAAACAACCCCGAGAAAAACAAGCGTTAAGATTCCCCCCTATCTCCTCCATCTGCCTAAAAAGTCATAGCGGTTTACCTCAATCCGGTTTACTTTTCTAATTGTTCGAATTTCGGTTCAAGCCTGGTTCGATTAATCCGGTTCTTGCCGCCGTTGCTCTGTAACTGAGATTTGTTCCCCGGAGACGGAGAAGAT